TTCTTTTTTTTTTTTTTTTTTCCTTGCCAGAAAAGTGAATTGCCATTCCAGTAAATCTTCTAGGAGTGATTTTTCTCAAACTAAAGTTTCTTATTTGTTTTCCTTTAGGCTTCCTGTGGAAACTTTAAAATCTCAGTATAATATTGATAATTGGAGGTAAATTTACTAAATTTTTAGACTTGGACCCCACACGGAATCCTTTGTCCAAAACAACATAGGAAGTGTGCATTTTACACAGTGAAATTTTTAGTCCTATTAACCGAAATCTGTTACCACGGCCTCAGTCTTTTACGTGTTGCAGTTCGTATGAACAGAGGGTGTGAAGTCCCATTGATTTTAATGAAAGTACTCATGAATGAATCAAAGCAGTACGTCATAGATGTTTGCAGATGTGTTTTTGTTTTCATGCTCTGGGAACAGTAGCCGTATTTGTACACCAGAAGAATGTCTGAAATGTTTTTACAAGGAAACCAAATTTACATATGCGTTTTTAACATACTGTGAAATATTTGCAGGAAAGCTCTTCCTTTATTACGACCCGAGAATACTAGCACAGGGAAATACCTGTTTAGATTATGCCAATTGCCAATTTGTTTTCAAACTTACTAAAATCCAGACCTCTCTGGTGCTATTTTTTCTTTTCTTTTTTTTTTCTTTCCTCAGTACGTTGTTTTAAAATGTATTGGTGGTATTAGGAGATGTAGTTGAGGGAGGGAAAAGGAACATAAGCATTGACAGCATTCCTCAGTGTTTCTGCACATACCACTTTGCACGACATGAGTAATGTATGTCATGCTGTGTTTAGATGCTTAAAATTGTCACTCAGTCAAATCTCTGAGGAAAACACTGTGAATTATAAACCATGATCCTCCATTCATTGCATGTGCTTATGCTGTGCGTTCAAGTGGCCCATCAGGTTGTTTCCTACAACAATCTGGACTTCTGTCCCTCCTTTAAACTCCCTAGGTTTTGTTGAATCTGTGTGAATGCTGCTACTGGAGCTTTTTTTTATGGGGTGACTAAGGCCTAATTTGAAACTTCAGTATGTGTAAATTAGTTAGCAGTTTATGGTCCTGCCAACAAGAGTAATAACAAGCATCTTGCTGTAAGGTTGTGCGTTGTCGTTCCACAGAGGTCAGTGGCAAATGCATCCTAAGCAAAGGTCATTGATAGTATTTAAGTTCGTTGATTTCTAAGTAATCTTTCTAGATGTATGCTTATCTAACGTTTGAGTCTGCAATGCGAAAATCTTGATGTAACAAGGAATTTGTTAAACCTCAGATGAAAGTAAAGGATAAGAGCAAGAGGAGTAGTTAAATAGGTCCTTGGCCTCTCATTTTTTTCACACAGTGTAGTTTTAAATTTTAGCTGCAAGTAGGCAATGACATTTACAGCTGTAAGATACACCAAGGGTTTTTTGGGAGGGATGGTGCAGTGTAACTCTAAGGAGACAGGTTGTGAAGTTATACCTTACAGCAACTTGCCAACTAAAATAAAAGGAAAAAAACGCGCTTTCTAACAGTTTCAGGCTCAAAATATGAACACCTTTTCAAGGGAACCAATTAAACACCAGAAGGATTATCAGTAGAAGTTGTGGCTGAATGTTTCTTCAGTTACAAAGGATACCAAGCCTAGCTTTTGCAAAATTAATGCTGAAGAACATTATTGTTTTATGGTCAAATACAAACTAAAATAAAAGGAAAAAAACGTGCTTTCTAACAGTTTCAGGCTCAAAATATGAACACCTTTTCAAGGGAACCAATTAAACACCAGAAGGATTATCAGTAGAAGTTGTGGCTGAATGTTTCTTCAGTTACAAAGGATACCAAGCCTAGCTTTTGCAAAATTAATGCTGAAGAACATTATTGTTTTATGGTCAAATATGGTTTTTAACTAGCTTGGTAATTACAGTGTTAATTAAAATTTTAACAGTTGACTATTACAGGAACTGCTTTGAACAGTCAACTATAGAATAAGGTGAAGCAGGATAAGGTATGCTTGTTGATATATCATTCATATTTATATCTATATAGAGAGATAGGTAAATATTGCATACATTTATCTTCATATATGGGAAAAGCTTTTTTGTCATGTCTTATGTTGTATGCTTTAGTATTTAGTTATATTGCAATATTAACATACCTTATCTTGCTCATTTAAAGTTTTCTAAAATTTCTTTTGTTGAAGGTGATGATACAGATAGTCTGATACAGTCAGTCAAATTACTGTACAAGTCTCTTGTATCTGCATTTTGGACACTGCCCTCCATATGCCATTAAAATAATTTTCCTTTAAAATGTAAGTTGAAAATCAAGGAAAATGAGTCACCTTTCTAGCACTAGTATCAGAAGCCTTTGCCTTAATGGATTTGTAACGATAGAAGAGACAATTGTTACCTACAAGATTGCACAAAATTCCAACTAAATATCTTTGGTACTTTCTAAGGACCAGTTCAGTACGAATCTTCCATTTCCTCATGGACTATTTTCTCTTTAGAAGAAGCTGGCATTGATTTTATTTCCCCAGTAGAAAGAAAAATCAGACAAGTAAATAGCAGCACATCAATTGTTCTTATTTTAATGCCCTTATGGACAACAGTGACCACTTCCACTTCTTCCTACAGAGTAGTGAAAAATACAAGTCCTAAATAAATTAAGTATTTTTGAGCTTTCCATGTTTATTGATTAAAACAAAATATTAGTAAGAAAAAAGGCTGATCTTTTGTACTTTTTTAAAATTCCATACTGAAATAAGTTGATTCTGCTTTGAGTCTGATACTCCAATAACAACATGGAGAGCCATAATTACGAGTTGCTGCTTTAATGTAATATTGTGATATAATCAAAATTAGAATTAGATTTATTATTTTTAAATGACATTAACTGCTGCAGAATGTTAGGCAGATTGTTGTATGTAGCAGTACGTATACATAGCCAGATTCTTAGCTCCAGCATATCATTACAATACTAGGGGGGATCCCAGATATAATTATGGACAAAATGTAGTCATTTATGCTCATAAAATATTAATATATTTCTGGGAAATGTCTGTTTAATAAAGAAAAAAATTACAATGTGGCTGTATTTTTTAAATATTTACAGAATACGTCATACCAGTGCTTTGTGCTAATGTTTCTATTTGTTCTTCTCCATATGCTGAGTTTTTTAAAATAATCGTGTTTCTAGATTCAGCACCCTTACAACCAGTGCAGCGCTAGGTATCCAGGATACAGAGAATGAGAAAGAAACTAAGAAAGTTGTTTGTTTGTGTCAGCAGCCATCTGTTAAAACAAAAACCTTCCACTAGGTAGAATTTTCTACCAATACAAAATAGTTATATTATGGAACCTATCTAGTATTATATAATAAAGAAAGCACACTTGGCAATTTTAATTGCATGTTGACATTGAAATATAACTTAGCAGAAGAGGTAATACAGTAAAGCAGTAATTGATAGATAATTGACATGTGCGTGACCAAAATAGTATGCTTATACAAAGGAGATTGAATCTCAAAGCAAATGAAGCTTTGAGCTACACCTAAAACTGCAGGTATTTCACAAATATTTTCATAAAAAGTTAGTCAATCACCGAATTTGACATTTGATATTTAGTTCTCTGAAGAATAGTTTTTAATAGGTGCTCCAATTAAAGTACATCAAAATCAAAGAAAGATATTTTAAAGATTGCTTATTCATCCCTCTGTGAGAATACTCAGACTCAAAATAGCTTTTTTTAAAAAAACAAGAAGCAGCTCTAGGTGGGCGAGAGACTTCATTTTGAGGAGCTTAAAGCAGTTTAATGGGAATTAGAGTGAAATGATCTTAGAAAGCAAATTATCTTGTATTTGCCACTTGTGGGGTTCCTGGCACCTTCCATTGGAACATCTGGAACAAATGGCTTTCAGAGACCAGACACGGGAGTATGTATCTCGTCAAAACAAAAATGCCTTTTGAGAATACAAGAAAAAAATTGTCTGCAATAGTAATCTGATAGCGCCGGGTTTTGGCTCAGATGCAGCTTTACATGGATATCCATGACTTCTCATATCTTGCTCTTTCCTTATATTGCTGTTTAAAAAAAAAAATTAAAAAATAGTTATGATTGCAATGATGAAATGTGTTTATGATAGAATGGTGTGTGCAATATTCTGTTTATTACCGTCTTGTCTTTTTTACGTACTGCAGAACAAATGAAAGTCAAAAAATTGCTAAAAGATTCATGTTTCTGATCTTTCTGTCATCATATAATTCTGAATGCAGTGCAATGTTTACAATACCGGGGATACCAAAAAGTATTGATATCAGGAGTTCACAAAGAGTAATATATTTGAAGGTTTTGTTCTTCCCTTCAAGTACATGCAAAAATTTTAAAATATTTAATTTTACAATAGAGATTTATAACAGTGGATCCAAAGGCCCATCTGAAGGCAAGACAATTTAGTGGATTGTCAAATATGTCCTGACAAGGAGAGGTCTGTAGTCACCTTAAATTCAGGATAACAGAACATTTACTACTCCTACTTGCTCTTTCTGTGAGCAGCTGGAGTCAAGAGCCATGAGTGTCCCTTCTCTCCATCCCTGTCTCTCTCCCCAGCTGACTGTATATAACGTGGCTCTGCTTCTGCTGATCACCTCCCCATCTGACCACTTTAAAAAAAAAAAAATGTTGAGGGAGTCCTGCTTTAGAAATTTTTCGTGATTTTTTTTTTTTCCCCCTGGACAGATCCATTCAAAAAAATGCTTATGATTATAGCTACTGTGTCTTAGTTGCCAAAATAAATTACTTCAGCTGGGAAAGTGAAGATTTCTTAAACTGAAAAATAATTTATGAGTAACAAAAGTAGTTTATCTACTGTCTCGTGTGCTGTGATTTTTCTGCATTTCTTCATACCAAAAACTGGAGCTGACAACGTAGTATTGCCTGTAGCATACTGGATGGAGATTGCTAGGTCTTCTATAGCTTCCTGAATTTAATTTCTCCTTATTGCTTTAAAAGGTACATACCAGGGGCAATGGACAGGAGGGATGCGACATGGATACGGTGTACGTCAGAGTGTACCCTATGGCATGGCAACTGTGATCCGTTCACCCCTCCGAACGTCTCTAGCTTCTCTTCGAAGTGAGCAGAGCAACGGCACTGTTCTGCATGATGTCACTTCAGACAGTCCAGCTGGAACAAGAGGAGGTTTTGTGCTCAATTTTCACAGTGATCCAGAAGCCATGGGCATTAAGAAAAAAGGAGGCTTGTTCAGAAGAGGATCCCTTCTTGGTAGTATAAAACTTAGAAAATCTGAATCTAGGTCATCGATATCTAGCAAACGGAGCTCCGTCAGGAGTGATGCTGCTATGAGCAGAATTAGTTCTAGTGATGCCAACTCTACAATTAGTTTTGGAGATGGTGACTGTGATTATTGCCCTATGGAAGACCATGTTGATGCCACCACTACAGAAACCTACATGGGAGAATGGAAGAATGACAAGCGCAGTGGTTTTGGTATTAGTGAGCGTTCAAATGGTATGAAATATGAAGGAGAATGGCTAAATAACAGGAGGCATGGATATGGATGTACCATGTTTCCAGATGGTACCAAAGAAGAGGGAAAATACAAAAATAACATTTTGGTCCGTGGAATAAGAAAGCAACTTATACCAATACGAAACACAAAAACTAGAGAAAAGGTGGATAGAGCAATAGAGGGTGCACAGCGAGCAGCTGCCATGGCAAGAACCAAAGTGGAAATTGCAACTTCAAGGTATGTTATCGCAAAAGATATTTGTTCATCGCTGAATTTTCAGAAACAAAAATATGTTACAATATGTGAGCTCTTATTGCTGACAAAAGACTCAAAAGTGGAAGGGTGTAAATGTTGTCTTTAGTGAGTACTTGCTCACCTTTCAGTTTCACATGTGTAACTCCATTGTCTTTAGTGGCATTACAAATATGAAACTCAGAGCTTCAACTCATTTGAGTAAAAATGTTCATATATGTTCCATAATATACTGTGAAAGTAAATTTCCATTCTCATACATTTTTGCTTTCACGCAAGAGCTTCTGCATTATGCCTTTAAACCTGTTTGGAAAATAAAGCCAATGAGGAACAGTAGAGAATGATTTGGGGGATGTGAGATGAAGATGGAATACCTTCCCATAAGCATGCTCTAGTTATAGTTATTGCCTTGATGATTTTTTGGGTAGCATCTGAGACTCACTGAAGTTGCCCGTTTGACATTGAGCATCTTAAGATGCATCTGTTTATCTGAGAGACCGTGGTATGAACAGTGTAAGAATAATGGTCAAGACTCTTGTGCTTAGAGATTTGATTTGGTTGCTGGGGCAGTATCTGCCAAAAGAGCTCTGTATGAGGACTCTTTGTTTTGGAGTATGCTTGTCCTGCAGTCTGAATTTGTCTGGAACTTACAACCACCACTTCAAATAGTGGTGGTCATCTTCTCCCCACCCCCTTGCCAAGTGTTTGAGATGGGAGAAGTGTACAGGTAGTAGTAGTGGGCAGAAAATGTCATTTTCACTTCCAACTCCTAACCAACAACCAAGCAAAGTCATCTGAAATGGAATTGTTACAAATTAAATCAATATAGACAATTTTAATAGGTTTTACCATTAAGTCTGAGAGCTCTTTAAAAAGCTATTTAATTTGTAATGCCTTCCAGTAAGTTTCTGTGGCAGTTCCTCTATTGTTGGTTTTAGTTTGTTTCCTCAGGCAGGCTTTTCTTGAAATATGCTGTGGACCAAATAAAGAGCCCAGAAATGTGCATGAAAGAAAATCTTCATGCAATTTTAGAAAGAGGATGTCACTTAGAGCTGAACAACTGGTTCCTGGTTTAGTGTGGTCAGTAGTGTGTGCTTAGTGACTGTCCTTTTTCTGATCGTCATAAAGAATACAGAAAAGACCAAAAGCTGTGTAAGTGGGAAAGCTTGAACACATGGATAGCTCATAGCAAAAAGTAGTTGAGACACAAACATGAAAAATTTAGCATACTGTTAAAGAACCTTTCTGAGCATAGGTCACCTAAGTAATTTGAGGGTAGCATATACTCAATTACTTCTATAAATATATGTAAGGCATTATGTGACAGCATACCATATTAGAAAAACAGATCAGTAATAGCTAACTTTAAGAAATTACTGGATCCTGTTCATGTTCTGTCAGTACATAATAAGCCCAAGTTTGGAAAAAATGGAGGTGATGGGATGTGTGGATAGGGGGAGTCACCACTTTGAGTCCATATAAAGCAATTGAAAAGCTGTAGTCCGAGACCATTACAAGGCACAGTGTATGCACTTTGAGATATGTCTCTGAAGTGTTTTGTTTTGCTGCTTCTTCCTTTCAATTTTAGGTGAAATACAGAGTTCAAATTGATTCTTTTGGAGCAGTCCATGTAAACAATGTTTATTTCTTGAAAAGATGTTTCTGAAAGTGCAACTACAAAAGGCATCAGTTGTAGTGCAGCTGTGACCGTGGGCTATTCCTTTGTTTTTTCAGCTGAGAATCCCTCTGAAAGAGTCCCATGACTACCAGTATGGCTAGCAAGATTGCAGATTCAGATTTCCGCTCTTTTAGTAGCCTTTGCACTAACTGTACTGACACTAAGTCAAAGGCAAAGAGACCTGACACCTAGTCAGGCAACATCAGGCATAAAGATTACATTAACTTCATTTGTGATTGCATGTTGGACCCACCTAGTAAGGATGACACGACACTTCCCATCTCTCTAGTTTTCAGAATTGCCATTAGTATTAACCAGTGGGAGCAAGTCCATGGCATTATGTGAACTAAGGGACTGTCATACTGGCAGAGTCAGTAGTGCTGACTGAGATCATCTGGAAGAGATCCTAGAAGAGCATTGAGGAAGAGACTTCTGCTTCAAACAGTTGCTAAATTCTAGGTTGACCAGAGTGGTACGGTTTCAGGATGAAAGAACTTGCTTCTGTCCCACTGAAACTTGAGATTTGTGATTTGTGACTGCTTTTTTACCAAACTGATATATTAATAATATATTAATCCTTCAGACAGTAACATTCCTGCAATGTCTTAGGTGAATATGGGGATGGTGGTCTTGTCTGTTTCCTAATGAGCACCACTACACAAAACAGTCCAGGAGGAGTGCCTTTTTTCATTTCTCCAATGTGTAATACAAAAGGTGGTTCTGCCCATGTGGCATAACCTCACCGCACACTGCCCTGTAAAACCTTCTGTGTTTCAGACCTGGCAGATGTCACCAGCAATGCGTGCTTACTATAGATTTCCATTCCGTTAGTGGAAGGACTCTCTAGATAGACCTTTTTTCACTCCAAAAAACATTGAATGTCCAGGTTGCCATTCCAAAGAGCTAGAAACCCTGACTCTCAGCCAGATACCTTCCTTTTCAACACAGCTTTGACTTGTATGCTGTTCTTTCCTGCACTGTTTATTCCCAAAATGTTTGCTCAGCCAAATGAAACCAGACCATACTCCTCTTCATAGCTCCCTGCTGGTCATGACGGGTTTGGCTGGTAGTTTGACCTGTGACAGATGTCCACACAGTCATCAACAAGACCAACCACTGTTTTGCTTATATTCCTGATGTCTTTTTATGTCTAAAAGTTCTCCTTAATAATCTGTGTAGTATTCTTTTATCTAAAATGGCAGTTTGGTGTGCAAAGGAAAATCTAAAAGTTGGAGTAAATGGTGCTTCTCTGAACCTGAATTTACATTGGCTCTCCTAACTCAGCCTTTAGGGTTTTGAGGCATTTGTACCAAGGTGTTTTAGATATAATAGCAGCATTTCTCAAAAGATACCACATCACAAAATAGTGTGATGTATAGAAAGCTGCTGTATCAGGGAGTTACCAGCCTCTGCTACACAGATCTGTATCCAAAATAGATTATAAATTAGTAATGAATAAAAACTGCTTTTAAAATGATAGCACAGCTTAAGTCTTGATTGTATATTATAGTTTTACTAGCTATATTTAAGACAAAATATTAAGGCATAAATATAAATCCCAGAATTTGAGGAATTTCAGTAGGTTCAATATTTTTCCTTTTTAAAATATTAAAAGTTGTGTTCTTAAATCATTATTATAGGCAGTAATTAGTTCAAATCCATCTTTAACCCATCTGTGCTAAAAGCAGCCAGGGTTTTTGGGTCTTGGTGTCTAAAAGGAAAAGCTGCCTGCAAGAATTTTTTAATAAATTCTTTTCTGTGTTATTTCAAGCACATGTGAAATGCTTCAAATGCTGGAAGGTGTATATTTGGAAGAGCCCTTTGGAAGATGTTAAAAAGTCCCAAATGTCCACTCAATCAAGTGTCGAATAGAAACTTGTTTTGAGGATATCAAATAATTCTCACTGTAGGGATTTTGAACTTCATTTTCATTGCTGTCATGTGTCTTACTCAAAGGAGATACCCCTTTGCAGTTCAATATGAACTGGAATTATATTAAAACACTTCTTTCCTAGTATGAAAATCACTTAAGTTCTCATTGGAGGAGTGTATTACATTAACTTTGCCTCATCAATACTTATGATAGTATAAACTGTAACATTTTTGGAATAAACTTACTTTCTAATACACAGTATCCTCGGGAGTTTTTAAATGTATCAGTCCTGTAAGTAAACGTAGCACTGGAAGCAGATGGAATCATGTTTGTTTACACATAACCCTTCATGTACCAGATTCTTTCTAGAAAAGTCAATATTGTGGGTTCAGAATTGAGCTCTCAGAGCTAGACCTTTTTGGTTTTTTCTCCCTTCAGATTTTTTTCTAGCTCATGCTCAACTAGAAATTCTCCTCTAAGTGTTGACTCTCCAAGGAAAAAACCTGCAGGGACACAGAGGGACAAGATAAAAGTACATTTGAGTAAGAAATATGAATCAGAAAATAGTGTGTAGAGGAAAAGAGAGAAAGAAATCAAATGCAAAAATGTTTCCTTGTGTTTTTCTCATACTCCATTGATTTTTCAGGTCATAAAACAAGCAGGTTAAAGAATTGTACCTTCTTTTTTATTCTCTTTTCCACATAAGCTGAATACTTTTAATTACTCCAAAGTTGTGAGTGAGTTCTAAGTAAAGTTACTGTCATAATATGCTGTGAGAACTTTTGACCACCTTAAGAGCAATATTGTAATGGATTTTCATTACATGAGTACCTGAGGTTTGGTGAAGGATAATGGTGCCTTTGTGTTAGGCACTGTACAAATTACCCTGCCTACAGACCTTGCAGTATGGGAAAATGGCAGTGCACAACAAATGGAAAGAAACTGGCAAAAGACTGAAAGGACCCAAGATCAAGATAACAGTAAAATTAATATCTTCTAGCTAATAACATAGAGCGGTTCCTCCTTGTTAATGAGCTGTCTGTGCTCAGATAGCAGTGACTAGCAAGCCTCTAGTCAGGAAGACTTTTTAAAGGGAGCACTGAAGGGAGATTACCTTTTCTGCAATGATTTTTTTTTTCAGAGTAGCTTTTTCAGACAGCTCAATTTTATTTTTAACATGTTTGTGTCCAAGTCCACAGATGCTATGGCTTAGTTTCAGCCTTTTTTTTTTTTTTTTTTTTTTTTAATATAAACTACAAAAACTCTGGTGGTGATCCTGTGTCATGAGCAGCCTGCTTTGTTCTGCATGGCTGTGAAGGAGCCTTGAGTTGGTGGAGGAAGGCGCAGGAGCATTGACTTGGTAGTGGAAACCCAGTATAACAATTTTTATTTTGTTTGGCAGTGAGCCTGCTGCCACAACCTGGACTTTCTTGG